AATTCAGTCAGTAATTTCCTATGGTCTTGAACATCAGCTAAAGCTGATGAAGTTTTTGATATTCAGAAAAAGGTAATCAGAATTCTGGCTGGTGCATCTTCAAGTGAACACTGCAGGCCATTATTCATTCGTTATAGTTTATTAAACATGCCTAGTTTGTATATCTACCAAACACTGATATATATATATATGAAAAACAAAATTTCAATTATTCCTAGAAATGAGCAGATCCATGAACATTTCACCAGAAATAACTCTCAACTACATCAACCTTATAGTAGATTGACAGTATCAAAGAATCACACTATGTGCATTAGGGTTGAGCTATATAATAAGCTTAGTGATGACATTGAATCCTCAAATATCAATATCAATATCTTTAAAAAGCGACTCAAGATTTTTCTATTGCAAAAAGCATACTACTCTGTGGATGAGTTTCTCCTTGAATCTTAATTTGATTGTAGCTTATTAACTTTTTTATGTATGTTTTATGTTTCAAATTGATTTTTCTATCTTTTTTATGTTTGTTTGACTTGTTGAATCATCCAGTATTTTTTTTATTTCAAAAAATAACCGCATCAACCGCGAAGGGTTATTAGCGGAGGAACAATTAGGTATACTTATATTTTATGTAATATATGAATATATTTCAAAAAGGTTACTAAAGAGTTCAAGTTCACCATGTCTGGGGCAGAATTGAGATCACTGGGAAGTCTTGCTTCTTGTCTTTCATATTCAAAAACTGGGTGTCCGATTCTGAGGCGATTAAGAATAACTTGATGTCTTCGTTGGGCTGATTGGTAGTTCTGAAAGCGCATGTCGGGATTTATCTCACGTAATTTATTTGATTCCATGACCATCCATCTTTCTTTCCAAGTGTTTGCTATTAGTTTCTTTATGATTTTAAAATAATGTGAGTGAGAAATTTGTTCACACAGTGTTGCGGAAGGAGTAACTGTAACATTGCGAGCGACTGCATCGGCTTTCTCATTGCCTCTGATTCCAGTATGGGAAAGTATCCAGATTAGTTTAATACATTTTTGATTCTGCATTAGCTTGGATATCCTTTCCTTTATACGGACAAGTAGTGAATTCCTTGGGTATAACTGTCTAATTCCATGAATTGCGCTAAGAGAATCGGTGATAATAACAGAATTGCCAGTCTTTCACAGTGTGCTACATCTTGATCTATGGAGTTTAATTCACCTGTATAAACACTACAGATTGACGGCAGACGGTAGGCAAGCTCCGTATCTCTTGTAATGACGGCTGCTTCCACACAATCAGAAGATTTCGAAGCATCTGTGTATAAGTGATTGTATTCCTTGTAGTTGGAGATTATTTCAAAGGAAGTTTGTTGGATGAAACTTGGTGTGATTTGACAAGACCTTCATTAGATTCAAACCATTTTGACAAGATTTCTTAACATTGCAAATATGGGCGTTCCAATTCAGTTTGTAGTCAAACGTCATCCCAAGAAACTTCGTTTCCTCAACGAATTCTAACTGCTATCCATTAGGTGTAAAGTTTGGGAAATTAGTTGCTTGCTGTTTGGAAAATAGGAGGCATTTGGTCTTCGCTGGTGAAATTGGAAACCTGTATTGAGGGACCATAATTCCAGACTTGATATCGCCTCCTGAAGAAGTGACTCCAATGTGCCTATATTTCTGTTTCTATTTCCAGTATTTTATGATGATGTTATGTTTTTTCTTGTCTAACGTGATTGTGGAGAAAAACTGATTCAATAAATGTTTGATTGATTGATTGATATCAAAATTCGTAATGGTTACAAATATTTTTCAAAGAGAAATTTGACGTTCCTTTTCAAAAAGGTGGCAATTTAGTATGAATTATCAGAAACATTTTGAACTAAACAAGAATAACTAATATTTAGAAAATATCAATTAATTTGTGAAATAATTTTTCATCTATACTCATCCAACTTTCAGTTTTCAAAATAAGTTCATGGGTTCTATCATAATCATTATATCTTATTTCTTGTTATAATGCAAGTGGAACGTTTCAAGGATATTATTAGGTATACATATATTTTTAGAAACTGTTCGATCAGGTTGTCTTCAAAAAACAAACTAATTATTTCAAGAGTGGGTGGTACCTGGTGTGACCATGAAAGAGTTGATTCTTTCTTCAGCATTCCATCCAATTCGCTTGTTTTCAAATTCAACATATCTACGTCATATTATTACCTTATTAATATTGCCGTTTGCCTTCAAATTGATACGAGAATCGAAAAAATCCTACAATAGAAATTACAACCAAATCATGTAAAGCACAATTGGTTGATAATCTATTTTCAGTAACACCATCATACATTATTTTATTCATGAACAAGAACAAAGTAACCTTGTTTAAAGTACATGACGTCAATAATGTTTATGCACATGAGTCTGATCAAAACAGCGTTGACTAAGTCGTCTCTCCATTTTAATACCACTTTCATTTCCATAATCCNAATTTCATTTCGATCTTTTTAGGGCATTCAAATAAAAGCTTGTTTCAAAAATTTTTTATCATTATTTTATTTTGTTTTTATCGTCACCGAATTGTGTGCGCCACTGTCGGTGGAGGGGAAGTCACAGTCTATCGCAGGTCACTTTTCCCTTAACTCGTGCGCACACGAATCTACTGACTTCATTACAATCTTTGTCGTAGATATTCTTTTGCTGGGTCTATTTTTTTTACGTCCATAATATATTCAGTAACAAATAGTTGCCGGGGAGAAAAGAAAGTAGCGGAAAAAGCCTCTGAATTTAAGATGACAGGAGAGTATTTATTTTTATTTACGTTTTTTTGCATATTTCTAACAACAATTTTATCTAATTCGGGAGTTTCCATAAACAAATGAATTTTCACATAGTTTTGTTTTTATCGTCGCCCAAATAATTGAATCTTGTGCGCCACTGTCGATGGACTAAAAGTCACAGTCTATGGCAGGTCCTCTCTTTCCATGAAACCCGCCCGTCTATGAAACTACTGACTTCAACACAATAAGTGTCGTAGATATTGGTTTGCTGACTCCATTTATTTTACGTCCATGATATATACAATAATGAACAATTACTGGGAAAAAAATAAAGATGCGAAAAAAACATCTGAATTTAAAGACTCTGCGTGGTCTTTGTTTTAATTATTTCCAAGATACATATTTCTGAAAGCAATATTATCGAATTGTATACTGATCACGATTTTGTTTCAGATGGGGGCTGTTTATCTGATTTGTGGCCTCCTCATCTTCCAGTTAGCGACTTCAGCTGTAGGTGAGCCCTCTTACTACAGGCAATACAGGATCCTGTCAGGGTTGCCTTCCTCTAATTACTACTCCCCACAGCAATACTCGCTCTACGCGAACCCCTACGTCCATCATCCCTACAGATACTCTGATCCTGTCCGGGATGACAAAATTTATGTTACCGACCAATATGGAAGAACCACGGTGCAGTCAGGAGCGAGTTATAGAGGTTTATGATCACCCCTAACAAAAATTCAATTGAACGTGCCTCATAATTCCACATGTGAACTGGTCTACAGTCGAATATACTGAAATGAATTGAACAAAATTGCAATTACTACAGGGTTCATGATTTACACTACAGTGGCGCCATCTATGTGTTCGACAGAGAACCCAAACCTGATTATTCAAGATACAGTGTGACCCATTTAAAATGGAACCACCCCTGTAGAATGTGCATTTTTCAATCAATCTCAATTTTTTTTTTATTGAAATATTAAGCATGAAAAACTGTATCTTGACACTAACTTTCACAATTTTAGTTTCATTTCCAAGGCACTCTATGGTTTTTTTTGTTTGTCAAAAACGGCAAAAGTTTATTAGGCAATTTTTGTTTTCAAATTTGACTACACCACTGGATTCGTAGTCGTTATAAATCAAAACTGTCAAATTTTCATTAAAAAATATTTGTTAACAACGAAGTTACAACAACTTCAATTTTGGAAACAAAGTATTTGTTTGTAATTTTTATTCAGATTATAGACATATTTGAGATCTGACAACACTGTCATCACCAAGTAGAACACCAGTGAATTTGTACAGTGAAAATCCGAAGTCAACAGCTCAATGCGTTCTACAGTTATAACTCCTGAAAATATGGTAATGTGAGAGATTTGTGGTGCAAGCGTTTTGTAATAAAAATCTGACTACGCCACTGGATTTGTGGATAATATTCCCTTA